AAAAAAAAAACGTACTATCTACTGGACATCGTGCATTCGAGGGAGTTTCACAACTCAAAAGAAATCAATCGCAGAATTACACAGGATGCATATGCACCTTCAAATTCCTTCTCTAAAGACAATGAAAGTCTCAACCTCAACCATAGAGGAAAGGAAGGCCTTCCATCATTGATTCAGGCGACGAGAACTGAACTTTTGTACCTAAAGTAGAATATTTTCGTTTTGAATTCAGAACTGCTTGTTTCCTTGTCATGCTCGAATGCGTTTTCGTCACATGACATCGTTTTGCATACTAAATGGATGTAAAGGCGTTTCTGGTTCTGCTTTTTTTAACAAACCGGCTACTGGAACAATGCACCAAAAATCTAAAATTTAAGGCGATAAAATTGTGCGATTTCAAAATGGATCTAATAAAGTGGCAATTGAACTTCGTGTCGTGCAATTTTGCTATGAAATCATACTTGTGATTTCAAATCGAACTAGTGCTGTGCACCCGTTCAATTTTGAAATCACTCGTATGATTTCAGACCAAATTGCACTCCACTCAGTTCAGTTACCATTATAAATTGTCCATTATAGATGAGAGTATGTAAACACGATTGTGACGTTTTAGATTAGCGAATATTTTTGAGAATTATTTTATAAAAGCAATAGAGCACTTTTTCCGTATTTACATAGCCTCATCTAAACACTGGAGGGTTGGGAGAATTCTCGAAAGTTATGCATTGTCTCAAATTTCCCAACCCTCCTCGTCACTGGTTTAGATGAGGCTATGTAAACNTTGCACTTTTATACCTGAAGTAGACTATTTTCGACTTCAGATCAGAACTGCTTGTTTCTTTGTCATGCTCAAATGAGTTTTCGTCACATGACATCGTTTTGTATACTAAATTAGACGTAAAGGCGTTTCCGGTTCCGCTTTTTTTAACAAACCGGCTACTGGAACAATACACCAAAAATCTAAAATATAAGGCCATAAAATTGTGCGATTTCAAAATGGATCTAATAAAGTGGCAATTGAACTTCGTGTCGTGCAATTTTGGTCTGAAATCATACTTGTGATTTCAAATCGAACTCCCGCTGCGCGGTCGTTCGATTTTGAAATCACGCGTATGATTTCAGACCAAACTGCACTCCACTCAGTTCAGTTACCATTATTAATCCACATTCCTTTGATTTTAACAACTGCCCGATGAAATTATCCTTTTCTAGCAAGTTTTTCATTTCATACACCCCTTGCAAAAAGATATAGGATGTCCAAGGCAATGTGGCACCGATGTTGCCTGAATAAAATGTACTCAACTCTCACCGAAATCTCAGGATAATCTTGTCATTTTCTGCAGCTTCTATTTTCCAGATACATCGTAAGTCGGCCGGGTACTGCCCTGGGTAACGAGGTGTCTGAAATGTACCTCCAGTTTTGGGCAGGTTAAGGTCACCATCACAGTACTCTGAAACAAAAGAATACAACAAAAAATATGGCAAAAGATTTGAGCACTGAGTCTATGCACATAAAGCAAAACTCCACAAATTCCTTGTGAGAAACAGGGGTTATTTATTGGACAAGCTAAACGATGTTTGGGAACATCTCAAGGAAACTTTCAAATACCCCCTTAGGGGCGGACGGGGTGAGGGAGAGTAGAACGTAGGGTAAAGTACTTCACCAAAAGCACTTCTTGAGAATCCACAACAAACAAAACATGCGATCTGCAAAGGTCTTTACTACAAGCCACTCTTGCAACAACAACAAAAAACCATCACACTACAGCAGCAAGAAGGCAGTTAAGTGAAAGACTAACAAAACCTTGGGATCACAAAAGTTTACATACCAGCTGGGGGAGCAGGGGTGCTATCAACATTTGTATACTGTGCCTTGAAGGAGTGCCTTGAGTCTAAGCCAGATTTACTGCCGTGTAATGTTACTCTCAGATAACGACCCGTGGAGTACACAGGGTATGGCCTTGACGTTCCACAGAAGGTCCCAAGCACACGTGAAGTACTGCACAACAACAATACAAGTGTTAAATAATGTTAATAGTAATAATTTGCGCAGTATTGTGGAACCAACTTATAAAATACGTCCCATTGTAAGTAGTCTACCTCAAAATCTAAAGCAAAACAAAAAGGAAAAAAATTGTTTCTTTCACTTCTAGATCCAAAGTTCAAGACGGTGAAAAGAGAACCGGGGGGAGGAACTATCATATAAAATGAACAGGGGTGCTTCTCGCACCTTTTAGGGGTTAAAATGTACTTTTGATACCTCTTAGGGTGTTTCTCCCTGAATTGTACAACACAAGGTCCAATCAATAACTAATCATATCAATGACGAATTTTGAGATTAACAAACGTCTTCGGAGACTCCCAGCGCTGTCATTAAGTTTTGATTCAACTGTAACCTTGATCTCCACACCCGTAACAAACTTGTTACTTTATGGGTGAATTGTATCAAGAACAGCCAAGTTCACACGTAACATCATCAATGACCAATCAAGCATACTCAGCCATACTACCGTATGGTATCTCTCTGGAACGCTCTGCCTCAAATATTAAGTTGTCATTCGTTAGCTCATTTTAAGACCTTTATGAGGAAAAGACTCTTAATGGATAGCTACCTGAATTTATCTAGAACGGATTAGTTTAAGTCTTTTAATTCTTTAGCTTCTATTAGATCTGAATTTCTTAGTGCATTTTAAATTTTATTCACATAGAATTAATTTTCTTGTATTTTCTTGTTGTTTGTTTCATATTTCACTGAAAAGCCCCTTGGGGACGTGGAATAAACCTATGTATGTTATATATGTATGTATGTATTACTGGTTACGGCCCATACTGACAGCTCAGTAATATCCTACCTGTATCTACCATCTTGCACTTGGACAAAATTCTCTTTACAATCCTGAGCACGGCTTGTCACCTGAAATTTGTCTTTAAACACCAGCTCAATTCGTCCTGTGTTTACAACAATGATCCAGACGCATTTGTTGTTAATTCCAGGGTTGGCTGGAAGTGAACCCACAAATGTATGATTTTTGTTACCAGTGTTGGTGCCCAGTATATCCCCACATGACGCTGAGTTAAAATAACAAATCAAGAGAAACATTACGATTACTACATTAGACAAGAGACCAAAATGAGAAGTAAAAATGTTAAGCCATGCCACTTTCCCCAGAAAAAATGCTTATTATATATAACAATTCTTGAGCAAAATTGCCAGAGGAGGATTTAAAGCAACCAGTGAGAGTTTTACAGCAGGACATTCATTACATACTTGTCAATTAAAACAAAGTATGGAATTTTGTTGTGAACTTTGTTGTGAACTACTGTAGTGAACTTAAATGCCACTCAGGTAAGTTCACTAAACACAACAAAATTCAGAACTTCATTTTGAAATCGCGTTTTGATTGACAACTACTGTACATGTATGTACGTAATGAACTTACAATTGTCAAGTTTGTAGCAAAATTCCAGAATTTTAAAAGGACGTTTTAAAAAGTCTTGTGAAACACACAGTAATGATAACTTAAATACAATCTTGGACTTCAGGCTCTCATTTACACTGCAAAATATTATGTGCAACCACTGCGACACTTGTAAACTGCTTATCTTATCACACTGTAACTGAGAAAACTATCTAGTGGCCAAAATAATGAGATCAAAAGGACCTGAAACAATCAACAAGTTCAACAGTTGTCAAGGATCATGCATAAAAAGCAATTTGAAGATACATGTATATTGTACATGTACCTGTAACTGTTCTGTCTCGTAACTGGGAGAAATGATATCGTAATTTTTCAGAACTACATCTAGTTAGAACTTCATATTTACAATAATTGGGCTTTATGGCACAATTAAATGTCCATGCACAATGTACAATTAGTTACGCAGTCATACATGTAGTCCATAGTCAAGAAAGCACAGAAAATTCTACATACATATATTCTTACCTACACTCTCTGCCACACTAAGATGAAATTTATTGTCCTTCCCTTGGCCTGATGAGAAATTTACCGTAACACAGGATCCTGATGAAACCCACAAGATTCCTTTCTGCACATCACTGTTTCTGAGACATATCTTCTCAACCAGAAAGCGATCTTTGTTGCAACCATTAAAAATTTCAAGCATTCCATTGTCACAGTCATCTTTGATCTCTGAGCCAAAATTAAGGTTAATGCCTTGCACGACAACTGACTTTTTGCCAATGCTCCATATTCTCCACGAGCACTTGATGCCACGAGGAGCAAAATCTGGATGTTGAGGTGATTTAATAGATACTGTTTTATTGAGGTGTATATCACCACCACATTCTGAAAGAAACCAAATGAAAAAATTTCACATGGTTAGCAAATTAACTTTTAAGAGTTAGAGAAATCATTTGGTTTTGGCAAAATAATGTCAGGTACTGTTTGCAATATTGCATTGTCCAAGTACCCATATGTGGCACTACAAGCCCTATAAGGCAGTAAATGAAGTACATGTGAGTACCTGTATACCAAAGGCTACAGCTGACATTTCATTCTACAGCTGACATTTCATTCTACAGCTGACATTTTATTCTACAGCTGACATTTCATTCTTTAGCAGGTACTACATTATGTGTCTACAATGCATGGTAACTGAAGAATCTCATCATAGTCTGCTGCAACTTAAAATGCACTAAATAAAATAATGTGCTTTTTGCCATTTCACAGTGAATTTGATGATTGGACAATTCTTGTGTAGTTAGCACAATAACAGAATGATTTAAATTTCAAAAGTAGCACAGTTTATATCGTAACAAGGTCAATTTAGCCTCTAAAACTCAATTGTAAAAAGGGCTATTGAGATGAGTTGACGATGGACAAACTAATTCTTTTTTTTTTTCTAATGCAATTGACCCCACTGTACAGCTGGGCATTTCAATTAATTCGACAGTAACTACACGTTGTTGCACAAGCACAAATTCCAAAGAAAACCTTACCAGATTCTCCACCAACTACATGTAAGAGAACACCAGTGAATAAGGCACAAACTGAGAAAAAGAACAGGAAATTAATTACATGTAGGCAACCATTCATTCTTTAAAAGGTAAGTAAAGACAAAAATATGAATGGTGGTACAGTGGTTAATATATTTATAATAAAGCACTTGGCTAGAGCACCACATTAACTTTCTTGAGTTTGTCAGCCAATTCTTGTTAGCTAATGCCAAGATAACACTCTTACGGTAAAATATATGAGATTGCCAATTTTACCATCTTGACCCTACCAAAATGTTCTTAAAAAAAAAAGCTGTGCACATTCAACCATGAAAATGCATCAAGTGTTTCAAATTTTCTCTCAAAAATGCCACAAAGTTGAAAAAATAAGACAGTGTGAAAAATTGTTCTTTACAATGCTTTCTTGTCAGCCAATTCTTGTTAGCTACTGCCAAGATAACACTCTTACGGTAAAATACATGAGATTGCCAATTTTACCATCTTGACCCTAACAAAATGTTCTTTAAAAAAAAGCTGTGCACATTCAACCATGAAAATGCATCAAGTGTTTCAAATTTTCTCTCAAAAAAAGGCCACAAAGTTGAAAAAAATAAGACAGTGTGAAACATTGTTCTTTACAATGCCTTCTTTCCTTCATGTCAAGGAGATTTCATGATAACCCATGCAGGAAACTGGAAGTTTCATTCACATTGTCTGTTTCTGGTCTAGTTGGCATAGATGCAATGTACAGTACATGTATGACATGGTTTAAATTTATCTTTGGATTTTAAAAACTGTTTTCATAATTTTATTTTACACCCTCTTTTCATTATGATCTGACACAAATGGGTTTGAAAAAATTAATATATAGATTTAGCCAAGCCTAAAAGCGGAGCTCCTGGACCGCTTAGTTCAAACCCAATTAAGCTGAACCAGGCTAAGCGATGATTTTGATTTGAGTTTTGCAACTTTGCGGTCAGGTTTTCTGTTTATATTGTGGGCCTTCTGTTTTGATTTTGAATAATTTCAAACTACACCAGGAGCCCTGGCCCTAAAGCAGTGAAAAACACTTACATATATAGAAGATACATTTATACTACGGTTAACTTTTAATAATTATTATGGGTTAGCGTTAACCCAATTTCCGAACAATCCGGCCCTAATTACAACCAATTAACCTGACATAAGCCTGCAATCCAATCAAAAACAAGTACTTGGTTAGCGGTCAATGTTAGAAAAACACATGACCTCAATGAGCTATAAACCTGAGCCCACAATATGGTGACGTGATACTGGTCAGTGAATACCTTGTTTTGACAGGTGTCAATTGACCGTAACATGGATGTCAAATATCAAAGACGTACGCTGTAAACCAAGACTTGGTACATGCATTAGCTGGAGCATGGCCGCCATTTTGTGCAACATCTTCGTTGTTGTCGTCATTGAGCGCATGCGCCCGTGATCCAAGCTGCTACCAAGTTGACCATGAAAAAAGAGTTGCATGAGTTTCTATTTCTATGCATGTATGTGGTTCTGTTCCTATACTCATGGTGCTCCGCTTGGCCGCCCTTTGGGCCGCCGGAGCTCCCCTATAATCAAATTATTAAGTTTCTCTCAACAAACGTACATGTACTTGTATGTAAACATAGTGACTTAATCAACAATTTCTAATTTTTCTTAACCCCAAGTTTTAATGCAAGTCCCATTTATTATATGGCCACAGACTGCAGAGGTGCAGCTGTTATCAGTTGAACCCTTGACACCCTTAAGGAGAGTAATGCACTAGAAAGTCTTCATATTTTTCATATTTGATTTACATTTTGGGGATGGAAAATAATTTGATTTGAATTGTGGACACCTGCCAGCTTGGCACAGATGAACCCAGGTATCTTACAAAGCAATAGATGTTGACAGTGCATGTGCCTGGAGTTAACAATTGTGGTATCAAATGATGACCTTAATATGTCAGTTCACTTCCTTATCAAATGCATTGTCTCAAGTGTTCTTGTCCAATTGACCAAATGAATCAGACATTGTTAGCAGAGAACAAAAGAGCCACATAAACATGCTTGCTTAGTCCCATTTTTACTTTCTTTTCACTAGCAGTACATGCTTGGTACGCTGAGTCATGATACACGTACTCTTTTCATTAACCAAAGCTATAAATATCTAACAAAATTTTCCCCCGTAAAGTAAGTTTTAATTAACAGCAGAATCCCTTCACACATCTAAAAAGACCCTTTTCATTTGTTCCTGTATTCGATGACCAAAAACCTTGATTAAATACTAGGCAAATTGGCAAATAGTAGATTTAAATTGGCAAATTGGTTGTCCAATTTGGTCTCCATCTTCAATGATTGAAAACAAACGTCTTCACTGAGGTCATCATGACAAGCCTTGTTCAATCAGGCATGAATACAGGCTAGACCACATTGAACTCTGATCAGATGTCCAATTAAGTATTAATTATACATTGTCATCACAATCTTCCTTTTGCAGCTTAAAGTGTATGGCTAATAATGATCTGGAAAACAGTATACACGCAGTAGCAAAGAAATATAAAATCTGTCCACCAATTTATAGTGAGAATTCATGATTTCCAAGAGTTCATCTGTAGGAATCTTGCACACTTTAACATATCTTGATAGTTTTCCACATAGCAACAGGTATAATTAAAATCAACAGTTTCTTTAAAACAATGTATAAATTAAATGCTATCATTTGCATCCATCCATGAAGCATGGCAAATTTAGCTGGTAATTTTACATTTCAAACGTTGTCAAAGGTGTTGTTGGTTATGTGTCACTTCTGACCAACGAAATGTTGATGATTATGTCTTGAAAATTAATTTCCAGTGTTTGTGGCACCATTCGAGCATGTTCTGTTCACGTGATATGCAAGTTTTAATCCTTTCTAAGAGAGTCATAACATCAAAAATGGAGATGCAAATTCAGGTACAAAATAATAGCAGACACAAGACAAGTGTTTTTTTATGGATCCACCCAGCTAGGGAGTCTCACTGCCTTAACAAAAGTGATAGTGAGCGAAATCTCAAAAACAGGATGTCTGGCCTTCATTAGGCCTTGTTAATGTTTGCATTTCTTTGCAGTATGTGCACCATACAAATTTTACATTGTTCACTAACACATGCAACTCTTTCGTGTATAACTCCATGGATTCAATGTAATCCATTGTTAAGTCACCTGACCGTCGTTTATGATATTTTCAAAGACAGAGCATTGAAATCTTGACCAAGATTACTACTCCTAGTCTATCACTTCTACCACATGTATTACATTTTCTTCTAAGTTCCATACTTAAATGGGTGTTTGCATAAAAACATGAAAACTTACATATCACGTGAACAAAACATGTTCAAATGACGCCACAAACTAAATTAAACAACATAACCATCAAGGTCAGGTTGTCAAATTAAACCTCTAAAATAAATGAAAATCGATTGCTGTACCACTTGCATGTCAACAAAGTTGCAGCAATTTAATGGTTTCTTTTGTGCTGTTTTGCTAGAGCTTTAGATCCACCAAGTGTTTTAACAAAAAATTATATTTCCTACATGTACCTCAAATATGCTTGCTACAGAGTTAAGGTAAAAAAAAATGTTCAGGCTTTAATTTCACAGCTGCTTAAGTTGTGGGTATAACTACGAAGATCATTGATGTCTTCATATCTTTCTCCGCAGTGCAAATATATGATCTTTCACATATTCATTTGCATTCTTCGCCATCTATGGGTATATTTCGAACTCACAATGTGACCAGCTCCCAACTGGCTTGATACATGTAGCTCAGTTGGTAGTGCACTGCACCATTATTGCAGAGGCCAATCCCATTCAAGCCTGAATTTTCGGGCTTTAATTTCACAGCTGCTTAAGTTGCAATTGTACATGTATAAATTATAACTGCAGTGATCATTGATGTCTTTATACATGAATCTTTCTCCACTGTTCAAGTATATGATCTTTCATATACTCATTTGAATTACGCCTTTTATCAATTAATTTCACGTACCCTACATGTACTGTACATGTACTTTGTCTCTACGTACAGGATGGTGTATATCAAGATACAAGATACACGAAAACAAAGTTCCAGCTGTCTTGACAACATGTACTTGTTGAGACATTTTTTCCCTTTTTTTACTGACTTAACTTGCTTCATGCAAAAGAGTGCGACCTCCAAGCAAATCAGGTATAAATGCTTTAGGCAGGCTCTTAATATTATTTCCATCTTTTCCTGTTATATTGCTCACTGTATTTTGTCTCAGCGAAAACATACCTGTATTTGCAAATTCTTTTAAATAGTTTCATTTCCGTACAGCTATGACCTTAATCTTATTAAAGGTTTATTAAGCCTTGTCATTGAATCCCACTAACAATCTTGTAACCTGGCCAATTCTTACACAATCTTGCCTCTCCTAATGAATTAAAACTGTTTTTATCACAACAATGCTTCATTGTTTTCAGGACGTTTCAGTTACAACAATAGGTGCATGTCTGCCAATATCAAAGTATTATGTATTTTGGAGAAGATCAAGCTACATAGCATAACATAGCAAGCTGTGCTGAGCTTTTCTCCGAAGATCTCAAAAGTTAATTAAAACTAATTTACAAAATTAATAGCAAATGGGTTAAACTTTTGATCAAGAATCTAAAATCATTTTTCTTTGTTTTCTGATAGTGCCAAATCTCATTCAAGCAGCTATGAATTTCTCAGTTGGACTATATACATATACATGGTCCCATGCACAACAGGGGAATTGACTATCCAATTATCGGAGAGTAGACGCAATAATAAACAAAATGTCTGAGTCCCTAAATCTTGCATCCTGAAAAATCTGTTGTGTCTCTATTATTACACCTAAGCCTTGAAATTGTGATTGAAATCAGCTGTCCTCTATCAAGCATTAGTATCAATCTACTAGCGTTCTATCATGAAAGCTGTTCTCTGATTGGCTACGCTACTCACTATCTATTCTGTGATAGACAGTGAGTAGCTTAGTAGTGTGCCCTTGTTAACAAAATGATGCTGCTTCTTGGTGTTTTCAAAGTGTCTGTGAAGAGGATTTAGATAAAGTTTTAAACGACTAGTAGATTTATACTTTTACAATTAGATTATTCACTCTTGATTTCTATGCGTGATAGTTGACTCATGCTGCGCCCTCGTCAACTATCAAGCGATAGAAATCTTGAGCNTCTTCACTGAGGTCATCATGACAAGCCTTGTTCAATCAGGCATGAATACAGGCTAGACCACATTGAACTCTGATCAGATGTCCAATTAAGTATTAATTATACATTGTCATCACAATCTTCCTTTTGCAGCTTAAAGTGTATGGCTAATAATGATCTGGAAAACAGTATACACGCAGTAGCAAAGAAATATAAAATCTGTCCACCAATTTATAGTGAGAATTCATGATTTCCAAGAGTTCATCTGTAGGAATCTTGCACACTTTAACATATCTTGATAGTTTTCCACATAGCAACAGGTATAATTAAAATCAACAGTTTCTTTAAAACAATGTATAAATTAAATGCTATCATTTGCATCCATCCATGAAGCATGGCAAATTTAGCTGGTAATTTTACATTTCAAACGTTGTCAAAGGTGTTGTTGGTTATGTGTCACTTCTGACCAACGAAATGTTGATGATTATGTCTTGAAAATTAATTTCCAGTGTTTGTGGCACCATTCGAGCATGTTCTGTTCACGTGATATGCAAGTTTTAATCCTTTCTAAGAGAGTCATAACATCAAAAATGGAGATGCAAATTCAGGTACAAAATAATAGCAGACACAAGACAAGTGTTTTTTTATGGATCCACCCAGCTAGGGAGTCTCACTGCCTTAACAAAAGTGATAGTGAGCGAAATCTCAAAAACAGGATGTCTGGCCTTCATTAGGCCTTGTTAATGTTTGCATTTCTTTGCAGTATGTGCACCATACAAATTTTACATTGTTCACTAACACATGCAACTCTTTCGTGTATAACTCCATGGATTCAATGTAATCCATTGTTAAGTCACCTGACCGTCGTTTATGATATTTTCAAAGACAGAGCATTGAAATCTTGACCAAGATTACTACTCCTAGTCTATCACTTCTACCACATGTATTACATTTTCTTCTAAGTTCCATACTTAAATGGGTGTTTGCATAAAAACATGAAAACTTACATATCACGTGAACAAAACATGTTCAAATGACGCCACAAACTAAATTAAACAACATAACCATCAAGGTCAGGTTGTCAAATTAAACCTCTAAAATAAATGAAAATCGATTGCTGTACCACTTGCATGTCAACAAAGTTGCAGCAATTTAATGGTTTCTTTTGTGCTGTTTTGCTAGAGCTTTAGATCCACCAAGTGTTTTAACAAAAAATTATATTTCCTACATGTACCTCAAATATGCTTGCTACAGAGTTAAGGTAAAAAAAAATGTTCAGGCTTTAATTTCACAGCTGCTTAAGTTGTGGGTATAACTACGAAGATCATTGATGTCTTCATATCTTTCTCCGCAGTGCAAATATATGATCTTTCACATATTCATTTGCATTCTTCGCCATCTATGGGTATATTTCGAACTCACAATGTGACCAGCTCCCAACTGGCTTGATACATGTAGCTCAGTTGGTAGTGCACTGCACCATTATTGCAGAGGCCAATCCCATTCAAGCCTGAATTTTCGGGCTTTAATTTCACAGCTGCTTAAGTTGCAATTGTACATGTATAAATTATAACTGCAGTGATCATTGATGTCTTTATACATGAATCTTTCTCCACTGTTCAAGTATATGATCTTTCATATACTCATTTGAATTACGCCTTTTATCAATTAATTTCACGTACCCTACATGTACTGTACATGTACTTTGTCTCTACGTACAGGATGGTGTATATCAAGATACAAGATACACGAAAACAAAGTTCCAGCTGTCTTGACAACATGTACTTGTTGAGACATTTTTTCCCTTTTTTTACTGACTTAACTTGCTTCATGCAAAAGAGTGCGACCTCCAAGCAAATCAGGTATAAATGCTTTAGGCAGGCTCTTAATATTATTTCCATCTTTTCCTGTTATATTGCTCACTGTATTTTGTCTCAGCGAAAACATACCTGTATTTGCAAATTCTTTTAAATAGTTTCATTTCCGTACAGCTATGACCTTAATCTTATTAAAGGTTTATTAAGCCTTGTCATTGAATCCCACTAACAATCTTGTAACCTGGCCAATTCTTACACAATCTTGCCTCTCCTAATGAATTAAAACTGTTTTTATCACAACAATGCTTCATTGTTTTCAGGACGTTTCAGTTACAACAATAGGTGCATGTCTGCCAATATCAAAGTATTATGTATTTTGGAGAAGATCAAGCTACATAGCATAACATAGCAAGCTGTGCTGAGCTTTTCTCCGAAGATCTCAAAAGTTAATTAAAACTAATTTACAAAATTAATAGCAAATGGGTTAAACTTTTGATCAAGAATCTAAAATCATTTTTCTTTGTTTTCTGATAGTGCCAAATCTCATTCAAGCAGCTATGAATTTCTCAGTTGGACTATATACATATACATGGTCCCATGCACAACAGGGGAATTGACTATCCAATTATCGGAGAGTAGACGCAATAATAAACAAAATGTCTGAGTCCCTAAATCTTGCATCCTGAAAAATCTGTTGTGTCTCTATTATTACACCTAAGCCTTGAAATTGTGATTGAAATCAGCTGTCCTCTATCAAGCATTAGTATCAATCTACTAGCGTTCTATCATGAAAGCTGTTCTCTGATTGGCTACGCTACTCACTATCTATTCTGTGATAGACAGTGAGTAGCTTAGTAGTGTGCCCTTGTTAACAAAATGATGCTGCTTCTTGGTGTTTTCAAAGTGTCTGTGAAGAGGATTTAGATAAAGTTTTAAACGACTAGTAGATTTATACTTTTACAATTAGATTATTCACTCTTGATTTCTATGCGTGATAGTTGACTCATGCTGCGCCCTCGTCAACTATCAAGCGATAGAAATCTTGAGCTCATAATCTAATTGTTAAATATTTTGCAATATAGAATACATTTTTACACCATCCTCCCGCTACATGGCCAAATTCCAACATGGCGTGACGTGAAATCGATTCGAAACTTCATCTCTGTAAATAGCTTATGGACTGATTTTAATCTTACTTCACGAACACGTTTTCTTGTCTGGGCAGACGAATAGGTTGAAAGTTCATTTGCAGAATTAGAAACAACTGTTGGTACGCGGTACCGCGACTGGAATCGAATATGACCTCGCAATGATCGTCGAATATGCAAAAGACATGTGTATTGTAAACTAATTTACAACGTAGCTCAAATCACTCGCGTATAAATTCAGGATTTTCAGCAACATTGATGAAAGGGAGAAAACGCTTTCAAAGGGAATGAGGTCATGATATCATTGAAAGTGCTAATGAAGAAATTATAACATCAGTAAGAAATAAAAAGCGATTTCACATCTGGGCTACACTGAAATTATATTTGCGCATACGTGTTTGAGGTTTGTTTACGCTGCGTTCAATGACAACATTGTAGTCAGCATTTTATTCCTATATATCTGTTCTTGTGGCAGTTTCTTTGCAAGCATATCACTTTCCATAATTTGCAGAAACACTGCCTCATATAACGAAATCTTCACGATTGCATAAGCGTAAATCTATGAAAATGTGAAATTCTTGACAATCTACAGCTATAAAGAAAACGTGACCGATCTCAGCTCAGTTTGTGCAAACAATATTGCAAAATTCCATTCAAGAGACTCTAGCCTCATTAAGCAACAATCGAGCAAGTTTTACTATGGTAGAAATTGAAATATTCTAAACATAAACATCAGCAAAGAACAAGACTGCAAACATAAAGTCACTTCCTGTCACTGAGAACAAATTTCACATTGCCACTTCAATACGCCATAGGCATGTTTAGATCAGCGGCGCTTCAGAGCATTTCTGAGCGTACATCATGAGGCACAAGTCACGAAAATTCCTCTAAACCCGCTTAAAACGCACTTTCCAAGTCAACAGCAAGTCTAGCATTCATTTCATAAGCGAAAATACAAGACACGTTTTTAAATTATCCTCACTTACCAAAACAACGACGCGCCAACGTGCAACAAAAGTCGACCAACGTCCAGTGATATTTCATGCCTTTTGTTCCTTTTCTGTGAAAGCTGTTGTTGTTTCAAGCCAACAAATCTTCTGACTCAACACTCCGTCTTCAAAATGAAGGCTATTGAGCAGCTTTTGTAACCACACTCAATGTTTTGATGGGCATTACAAATCGCTCTCTAATTATAGTAACTGATCGAGCATGTTACTTTTCCACCGCTTCCATCCTAGTACGCATGCTTCTTTGCATACGGCAGAATCGTCAACAGAATCGTGACAGCATAGTGGTCGGTCTGGGAGCTCTTCGCGGGGGAGGTGGCGCGAGCTTTACTTGTTGATCACTTTTTTTATTTTTGTTCTTTTTCTAAGTCATCAACACATTTCAAATTGTTAACGCAAGTACATACGTTATAGAAAAAAATTCTAGGAAAGAATTTAGTGGAGAAAACATTGGTTGGTGCCCACGAGATTCCTTTTACCGTGCTCGCTTGTCACTTCCTGTTTATATCACACGGTCTGGGCCACTGCTTCCGGTCTCTGATCCGCGAGACCAAACGATTACCGCTATTGCTGGATTTACAGCCTGTTTTGTTGCGGGATCTACCGGTATGTTCCGGGTGCTCGTAATACCATCAATGCAATGCATTGTACACCGTGACCCAAAAAGAGGAAGGAAGTCGGTTGATACACAGGTTACAACTCATAAATTTGGAAAATTTGAGGAATGGGTTCAGGTTTCGCATTGCAGTCAATAGTGGACCATTTTGAGGTGAAAGCATGTCACCAGCTAACATCGGGTAGAATTACCATTCCTTTTTACTTGGTCTCTTTAGAAACGATAGACTTACTGTACTCTTCACCGATTCGAGTTTAATCTTTCCGATTTTTGACGATGATACACTCTTTTTTATATAAGACTATATTTTACAAGAATATATCGAGGCTGAAATTTACCAAATTTAAAAATATTTTAAGAATAAACCCGAGGCTGCGATTTTGAAAAAAAGTACTGTATTTTTGCTAAAAATTTGTAAATGCATTACAACTATATTCATTTTTTAACTCAACTATGGAAATTCTGCCTAGCTTTCTGTAAAGAGTGAAGATAGCCAAATAGAAAAACAATAAAACAAAACAGTGTTAGCCCTTTGTTCGACGCTAACAACATTTCTGGCTTTATTGCCTTCAGTCTGGCTTCAAGCTTACTTCAACAGCACTTAATTATAAGTCCAATCAAAGCGTCGCATGCTAAGAATATTAAAAAAAATATATTTTCAGCCCAAAATCAGCAGAATATGAAGAGTTAAATATGAATAGTTAAACATAAATAGTTAAATATGAATAATCAGACGGCCCAGGACAGAAAAACAATGTCTTTGTTGCAATACGTTTTGCAATATTTAGAAAAATTCTACGACGAATGTATAAATACCCAGGAGATATGTTGACATATTTTCAGAAGCCCTTGAGTGTGATATAAAGATTACTTCATGGAAAGTGCGCGCATACGGTATTTACGGACGAGTTGTTGACCTATCAGAAAACGGAAGAGTCAGCGTAGCTAACGGGTGAGAATTCTGATACAAAAACGACGAATGCTGTAATTTGTTTATTTTATGCATACTGTGATTTTCATTTTCAACTTTCTAATAAAATTTATTTGCCTTTTTATTCAGTAGAACAATACTCAAGTTATGTTTTTATTCAATCTGGACGCAAGCACTGTGTCGCTTCTCCGAAAGCCTTTCACACAGAGTGTTTACCTCTTCATCAGTCGACGCTTCAGCTGCTTTTGAATTGTTTTCTTTGCCTTAATTGTTTTTTTTTTTTTTAGTCGTTTGCTTCAAGCTTCTAGATATTTCCTTCCTTGGTAAAATTCTTTGTCGTCGATAATGCTTACGGGATAATTGCCTTCTTTAAAAACCGGCTCATACTTGAAAAGAGCCCTCGAAGGCTTGGTAGATAGATAGATAACTTTATTTCAACTCGGGTTGGTGAGGCTGATTAGGCCTCTAGTGGCTCTTGGTGGCTCGTAATCCTCGCCATCTTTTCGTTTGACTTTAAAATAAATTCCCACAGGTACTTGTTAAGTTTATCTGGTTTGATTTCTTCAACTTTTCTTCTCTATTCTTTCTGTTTGAGGAATAGGCTAAAGCAAGCAACCTTCGACCCAGGTGTTTACCTTAGTGCAGTTGTTCTGATGTTCTTCAGTGGGTTCACCTAAATAGAAGAACCTATTCGAACTTTCCGCCATTCAGAGATTGTCTGTGGTTGACTGCTAATTTGCAAGAAACTTGTGGAAACTTGTGGAAACTTGTGGAAACTCTGCAAACTTTCATGAAGGAATATTGAAGGGACACCAAAAGGAATGTGACGCGCTGCGAACTAACTGATTCATTTTGACAGCTAATTTCTGATTGGATGAAACGGTTTTCCCACGCGCGTGGGGGAAAGGCGTTTTGCGATTGCGATTGGATAAAGAAAGTTCCAGTGGGTTTTTAATGCGAATGAATCTACCTGAAAATAAAGACAAGATGTTCACAATTTAGTTGAATTTGGTTCTGGGACGTAAAGGTTTCGGATCAATCGACTCCAACAATAGACGATCTGGACTTTCGTTCAAAGTTCGCAGGAAATTTGTCTTCCTTGAAATTTTGTTCTTCGCCAACATTCTTCGAATTTCCCCTACGTTCATCGCAACTGTCTTTGCCGGTTATCAGCTACCAGCTATTTATAAAGAATCCTGTTAATACAAAGTTTATTTTGCGTT